TGCAGAAGAAAGGAGAGCTTTGCACCTTGGTACAAAAACTCTAACTCATACAAAAGCCAAAGATCTTTCATACACTCAAACACGGGCCCTGGTCGTGTTAACATTTGATTGGTGGTTAACAGACCCTGTACTTCTGCTATCTGATCAGTGAAAACCAGTTTGGGACCAGCTCCAACTACCTCAAGGCCTTGAAAGGGAAGACAGTTGAAAAGATCAGGCTACTGTGTACTTGAGGTGTCTGCTTCCCCGTAATGGCCGCTGGCTGCCATAACGGCTGCTAGCTGTTAAAGGGGGGTGGGGTCGCTGCTGACTGTCACAGTCCCCCCTTCGGGCCTGACAAACCCAAATTGTCAGGCCCGTTGCGCAATTTGCGATCAAGCTGGAGGGAAAGATATCTAGAGCCAAGCGGTTCTGGAGAACCATCTGCCTTAGTTTTCTCTGTGCAGTTGCCAAGTCCACCAGGGCATCGGCGGTAGTTTAATTTTCCAGATGTCTCGGTGAATTACCCAATTCCACGTGCATCCTCTCCATGGACCTGGCGGGATTCGGTATGTGGGAGCCCACCCCCCCCCCCCAATCGGTCCATATGCTTGGAAGGAGCATTGAGAACGTTCACACTTCCACCCAGAAAGCCTCCAAGTATGTCTCCATGGCCACAGATCAGATGGTACTCCTGATGTGTCTGTAAGGGCAGTGGGCCAAGCCTGAACATGCTAGATCCCGCTGCAATACCTTCCCAGCCTTAGTGATATTCAATACCATTCCTGTCAGCAACTTCTGGGTCATAGAACTAAGGGCGGAGATAACATGTAACTCACCAATTCCAGCCTGTACCTGGGTTAGCTGTGCCCCAGAAATAAGGCTAGTGGCCTTTTCTAATTGCCCCAATTTCTCATCATGTTCTTGGTTCTTAAAAATATTCCAAACTGCTGCTGCACTATTGGCCCCATCCCATAGGGATCCGGTCAAGTCACTTTTCTTTCTAGAGGAAATAACCCAAGCCCTCTGTGTGCTAATCTAATGGCAGCCCCCTGTGAGCAATTTGGGTATGTAGAGGTGATCTGGAAACTGGATAAGGGTAATGAAAATTTAACAGTCCCTAGTGTAGTGTTAATCACAGTCCATTGATATCCTAATACATTTCTCTTTGGTGTAGTACTATACCACATTCCCAAGCATGGGTCCCACAAGTTTCTTCCTGCCAGTGTATAATTCTTTGTTTCTTCACCAGGGTCAGTTCTTAATGTCTCTTGTAGGCAGGAATCCCTGGACTTTGATGGTTTCAATGGAGCAAGTGTTCCTTCTTCTCTTTTCCTGAAACAGTCATGGTTCAGCATCATACAGGGGAGAGGTTACTAGCACATCACCCTGTAATGGTTTTGCGTCTTCTAAAAAAAATTCAAAGGCACAGTAGGTCTGTCAGTGGACAAGGGAGAGGTTATTAGCACTTTACCTTGTCTTTTTTCCTGCTGTCCAGAAGGCACAGCAGAGCTAGAAGGAGAAATAGGCTTATCAGTCGGAGAGTCCTCCCGAGGTGGAGGGGTCTTTTTACAGTGAGAAGCATGGGTCCAGGTAGGCAGTCCTTGGCAGAAGGTGTTGGTGGTTAACAGGACTTGGAAAGGGCCTTTCCAGCATGGAGCCAAAGCAGTCTTTCGTTGGTGGATCTTTACATAGACTCAGTCTCCTTGTTTCAATGAACGGCAGGGCTGCTAGGGTCTTTGGGTAGCACTTCTTTTATCTGTGAGAAAAGAAACCTAACACACTTCATTAATGCCTGGCAGTGTTTTGCAGATCTCATAGTGCTTGGGCACATTCAGGCTCCCCTTTTCTTGGCTGTCAGGCAAGTCTTAGCTGTGGGCAATGTCCTTGGATGGGGCCAGCATCTTATCTTTGGACTGAGCTTGCTAGCTATTTTTTTTCCCAGTTAACTCGTTCTGTTCTTTTTCCTTCTCCCCTTCTTGGGTTCTTTTAACCTACAAAGGAAACTTCCACTCTTCACTCATACACCTTTTCCCAACAATGAACATATACACATTGCCATTATACAGTACATTAGTCTTATTATTCAATGTATGCCATTTACCCTTCCAGTAAAATAACTTTATTACAGAGCTTTGGAGCAACAAACCAGGACAAGCACACCCACTTTTGAGGAGTCCACTCGGTACAACCTCTGGTGTCCAATAGCTTTCCTCCCTCCCCAGCCCTCTGGCTAGAAATCTGAGGTAGCCAGAAGGATCCCATGGGCAATATGGGAAGTGGGTTATCCTTCCATGTCCTTGCTTCCAAAGACTGTTGGTATGCAAATTTTAACAACAATTTTGGCCACAAGACAAACACCACAAGACAGGACATAGAACACAAAAATAATTCCTATTGGGCCAGTAAATGCATGGTACGTTGAATGCTAATCAGCTGGCATCCGTTTTCTCTGATGATCTGAAAGACAAAAGAACAGAGGTCTACCCCTTCTGGGCAGTCAGTCATTGCTTAAAATATTTCCTTTATATACACATACTCTTGTTGATTTTAGGCAAAACAGAGGAATCACCCCATATTTCCTGGTATTTGTTTCATAGGCAGCCCAGGTTTCAGTGGCTTCTACCTTATTAGTTAGAAAATTGCATTAATACAGATGCTTTCTGGCTTGCTTCCAGATCCAAAGCTATCCACAGCTTAAAGATTCTTACTTAAAAAGGGACACAATTAACTTTCCCAGACTTTTGATTGCCTTTTACTTCTAACTTCTGCTTTCAAACACACACTGATCTGAAAAAGACAACACAACCTATATTGGTAGGTTTGCATTTCTTTTACCTCTACTACAATATACACTGCACATGTTCTGGGGGAAATGCACATCCTCTCCACAATTCAATTTCCACAACACTAGCCACATCAATTTTTACACAAGGTGTAACTATTTCTTTTGTGCTTACAAAATCTCCATGCACCCCTAGTAAGACAGTTCGACCACATAGAGCCAGAGGCACTGTCCTTCTCTCTCTTTACCAGATCTTTCATCTGCTATTTTGTAACCCAAAAACAAATTCAAATCTTTTATTCTCCTGGCTTTGACTACCCTGCAGCAGCCACAACCTTTGGTCTTTCTTTAAAACATTTTAAATCTCGTAAAGCATTAAGTCACCTTAAGGATTAAAGGCTAAATACCATATTAAACAACACTAGTTTCCCGTATCTGGCAAAAGTATTCTCGGTTTTTGCAACTTTAAACAATACCAATTCATCTCAAACTTATAAAACACAGATCCCACAAAAAACAATAATCCATTTGTCCCAGTGCCTGGTTTTCCATTACCAGGCGCAAGGGAGTTAAGTAAGTCGGAATGTCAAAAGATCCGGATTCGGGCCAATCAGTGCCCAGGGCTGGCCAATCCTGGGTGCAAAGCTGCAACAAGCGTCTCTTCGACATTCTTTTCTGAACACCGGGTAAAGGCCATTTACTTAACATATAATCCAAAGGGCTATCCTTAGAGGGTTTCCTCTGAGACCCACCCATCCCCCTTCTGACACTCAAACTGAGAATTAGACAGAAAGGTGGAGGGAATTACGGTCTAATCCAGAAATCTCTGCTTACCCCGACTGTTACAGGGGACGGGACAGAAGAATCTCAATCCGACCTCAGGGCTTCCTCACTCGCTATGGCTTCCACCCCGAGGAATTACAAACGAGAAGCTCCGTTCCGCCCACACACCTAACACCCAAGCGTACAAGACAGAAATTCATTAACCAGTTAACCAGAACAGAACCAGAACCAGATAGTGTTTCCTTATCCTATTAGGGCTCACCTTATCGGAGCATGAACCCCAGGGGCTGCAGTGAAGTGAGGAAAAGGGGCTAAGCACCCCGTTGGCGCCGTTCCTAGTTCGCCGCAGCCATCCAGAGTCCAATGTCCGAGCTAGGAGGGTCCCATCTGGGTCGCCAGAAACTGTTACCGAAATGTTGGGTCCTCCTAGCTGAGAGCCAGTAACAGCCAGACAGGGATAAGGAAAAGGTTGCTTTATTCTGCAGAAGAAAGGAGAGCTTTGCACCTTGGTACAAAAACTCTAACTCATACAAAAGCCAAAGATCTTTTATACACTCAAACACAGGCCCTGGTCGTGTTAACATTTGATTGGTGGTTAACAGACCCTGTACTTCTGCTATCTGGTCAGAGAAAACCAGTTTGGGACCAGCTCCAACTACCTCAAGGCCTTGAAAGGGAAGACAGTTGAAAAGTTCAGGCTACTGTGTACTTGAGGTGTCTGCTTCCCCCTAATGGCCGCTGGCTGCCATAACGGCTGCTAGCTGTTAAGGGGGGGGGGGGGGGGGAGTCGCTGCTGACTGTCACAGTACTACTCAGTGTAAAACATCAGAATCTAGCCCTTCGATAATATTGATCTAATTCATAGGTGTCACTTCATGAATGAGTAAGACTGAAAAATAGAGGTCAGGAACAAAACAAACTCATGAGTCTTTTAAAATTAAGCATATGCTATACATACCTGAACAGTACCAATGATCCCTACTTAAACTGATGAATGTGAAGATACAAGGGACAGAAATTCTGAAAAATCAGCTTAATATTTATTTAGAAGCCAGGTAATGTCAGTGATATCTTCAGTATATTAACCAAGAAGTGTTTTCAACTCCAACCAGTGAGACTACATTTGAATGGTGGATGGGGAGAAGCCATTGAAAAGTAGAAGAAATAAGTCAATTTCCAATAGCTGGGTTCTGTTCAGGGCACGCTATGATGTGTAGTGGTTTTGCAATTTGAAATCTGCTCACAGTACAGATACTGTAGTGCTTTGACTGCAGAAGTAAATGCATGCTGCCCTAAAAAATAGTGCTTTTTTCACTAAAGATTTCAGAATCCGTGAATCACTTTCTGTAGTACAAAAAGTAAAGTCATAAGACTTGTGAATGACTTGGTTGTTTACTACATACATTTTAATGTATTTACTTTTCTTTTTGTGGTGGTGGGAAACTGTATGTAGGATCCAGCGATGCAGTGTTTGCTTCCTGAAAGAGAGAACTTCACAGTGCCACTGAACCATAACGTGGCAGTCAATGGGGAAGGTGGAACTAGAATGTCAGCTATAAGCTTCATAGGTGCTTTGCGAATACCTGTGAGTACATGCATTAGTCTTACCCACTGTACGTTGACTTGGGTTTTATCCGACAAGATTCTGATTTTTATACAGTTTAAATGGAGAAGTGGACAAAGTTGGTTTTCCCATCTCAAAACTGGTATTTTATTCAGTCCTGTTGAGTTTTAACTGGATGTCGGGAATCAGGGGGTCTATGGTATAAGACAAAGTGGGTGTCCTATTCAGAAGAAGAGAGGATACAGAAAAAGGGAACATTTGGCTCAAAGAAGCCAACTGAATACATTAATAAATCACATTTATTTAGAATTTACAAACATCCAAAAAACTAGTGAGTGCAAGTTTAAACCTGCTCTTGGAGTTTTAAGCTGTATAGCTAGCACTCACACACTTCAGAACCCAAGAGTGTGATGACATTATTAACATAATGGGACAATATTTATGTATGAGGGGAGAGAAATAAGGGGATCAGAGAGGCAACCTTGAATTGTCAGGGATGGAGGGGGAGTAGCTGAAATACCTACAGCCTCTTCTGCGGAGGCGACAGAACTGTCCTTTCATATCACCTCTTCTTATGCGCCTTGAAACCTCAGGTAACTGACTAGTCCCAGTTAGAGCTGGTTGGAATTTTCTATCTAATTTGGGGGGAGGGGTTAATGGGAAAATGTAGTTTTCACAAAAATACTGATTTTTCTTGAAATTTTTCACAATGGAAAATTGGAAAAAAAAAATTGTTGGGGTAGGGTTGACCTGAATCAAAATATTTCCGTTTATTGAATAGAATCAAAATGTTTTGAGTCACTTCAATTTTAATCTGCATCCACCTGAGCTACCATGGTACTTCACTGAAGTTGTAATTCAGGTCTTCCTCATTCTACTCTCTGAGTCAGGCCTCTCAGCTAGACTACATCTCTCATGATGCTCTTCGGTCTTCCCTCTGGCTGAACTGCCATAGTGTATCATGGGAGATGTAGTTTTTGCTGGGGAACCTGGCTCGTAGAGGAGAATGGGGGCATGAGGCATCTGAACTACAATTCCTAGGAGGCACTGGCAGCTTAGGCAGATGCAGTTCAATGTCAAACTGAAACAAAATGTTTCCAAATAGAAATTTTTTGGAACTTTTCATTCCCTGAAAAATGTAGCAATTTTGACTTTTCATCCTGTTTTGAGGCAAAAAACAATGTTGAAATATCAGAATTTCCTGCAGGACAAAAGTTCTGATTTCTGACCAGCTTTAGTCCCAGTGGTTCTGCAATTCTGTGATCTCCTTAAGTGGGATGAACTCTTCATCCAGTATGAGCAAGCTGAACTTCAGTGCATGTGCTTTTTTTGTCAGATGTGTTTTGGTTTTGCTTTTTGGTGGGTGGGTATGAAGTGGAAGTCTGAAGTTGAGCTATATGAATTTGGTATATAATATAATATTCTATAGCCCATTACCCCGTTGTATGTGTATTTGTCCTCATATTTGGAGTAGTTGTATTGATGTACATTATGAAATATTAATAACATTGATTAGCACTTGATTACACCAGGGCTTCACTGCATTAATTGGCTGCCTATGTTGTTTAAGTGTTAAATTGAAAAATGAATTCAACAATTGTTAAAATATGATGGAAACTCCTACCTAGTCTCCTATCTACATCTTCCATAGAGTCAGTGGACCGTGCTCTATCCTGGTACAAGCAGGCTATAACGCCACAGAAGTCAGTAGAGTTATACCTGCTTACAGTAGGATTTAATTTGGGCAGGTGTCACAAATGGCATCACCTTTTCAGGCAGATGACTTCCATCACTAGTAGGTTCATAAATGATAATTGTCATTTTCAAAAGCTCCTAATTTGAAAGCACATTTTATGGCTTATGTAGGGGAGCATCTTACCACTCAAACTTTCAGGCTGCTGGATAAAAGGAAAGGGGGAGTTTGTTTGAATTCAGGGTAATAGCTCTGCTCAGGGAAACACAAATGAAATCCAGCTGGAACTGATATTGGGCCGGTGTGAATGTAGGAAAGAGCTGCTGGCACTATATGCTACCCTCCTGTACCCTTAGATTCTACCCAGTACCTGATCCTGCAACAGTAAGGTGATATGTATCTAAAATATCCTCTTCTGCCTTCTCCTGGAGTCTTCCCCTTTCACTTCTCCTGTCACTTGCTGGTGGGAATGAATAACACTTTAAATACCTCAAGGTGTGAATGGGGGAGGGAGGGTGTTGAGGGGGATGGGAAAGCATGAATGTGGTGGTGGTGGTGGTGGGGCAAATCTCCAGCAATCCATATTGACACTTGCAGGAGTAGCATAACAGCAAGAACTTAAAACTGTGTAAAACCCCAAACTGCTGCCAGAAGATGGCAAATGGTGGGGGAAGGATTGACAGGAACAGGTTTATGTGGCAGTCAAATAAACTTCAGCTGTGTTTTTATAATAACTTAACCTTACATAGAATTCTCAGCTAAGGCAATAGGGTAAAAGAATACTGAGACTTGTATGTTAAATAAGCACCCACTTTTACTGTGCTGAGTCCTAACTAGGCACCTCTTTGAGACCATGTACCATACGGGCTGTGTGGATTTTTGAAAAAATAAATACCATTGGTGAAATCCTGGCGCAATTTAAGTTGATGGGAAAACACCCCCAGGTCGCAACAGTATGCACCCAGATCAGTTCTATAAAAGGGAAGATACATGTAACATGACAGAAAATCACTGTCAATCTCTGAAGTGGTTATAAGCTCTATCTGTCCTTATTAGTATTCTGGTTTCTGGTTACAGTTACATGGAGAGAAAAAGATATACAAGTAGAATACTGCAATCTGCTTTGATCACAAGCTTCATGCTTCCAGAACAGGAAGTCTCAAGGGAGAAATTCCTGAGACAGAAAGGCTTAAGATGCCATTTGGAGATTGCTTGCATGGTGTGGTTTAACAGAAGCAAAGAAACAACAATACTGCATGTCTAGGTACTAACCTTGTTCTTCTTTTTTCTTTTCTTTCCTTAGGGAGTCATAGAATTCTCTCTCTGTTTGTTGTTTGCTAAACTAGTCAGTTACACTTTCCTTTTCTGGCTTCCACTCTATATCACAAACGTAGGTAAGTATCTGTGGGAAGAAAACAAGTGTTTAGTTAGAGAGTGTCATGAACTATGATGAGCCTAGTCACGTGAAAATAAACATTACTGCTTTTGTTTTAAGCTATGGTTGCCCTAGTAGAGTTGAAAGACTGCCGTTTTTTATGTATGTCAATGATACGTACTGAGAGTTAAGAGATAGCGACCACAAAAATAAGAATCTGATTTCTCTCTGAAAATTGCAAGTCTTTGTGATGTCTTTCGCTCTTGAGAACCAGCCAAAAATATTTAATTAAATAAACCCTATAATAATCATATATTTATAATGGTGCCTTATATCCTGATGGATCCCAAAGAGCTTAATAAGCTGCACAAAGGAATGACTTTATTACTACTATTTATTTATTTTATTAGATCATCACTATCATTGTGCTTTGTGCCATACAGAACGTAGAGGAAGGCATGCTGCCCCAAGAAGTTCATATTCTTTGGGCTATCCTCTGGCTTTTAAATCCACAGCCTCAAGACCAGAAGAGACAGGCAGGCAGAATGCCTGTAGGGAAGTGTGTGCAGTAGGGACACTCACTACATCCTTTGACAGGCTGCAGTATGCCCTCCTACTCACCAATACTTCTGTGGTAATAGGTTTGATGAAGGGAGAAGATTAGCTAATAAGTTTTTTATGTTTAAAAACAATATAATTAGTTTTACTATATGAACATTAGAGGCGTTGGGCATCTAACTCCCATAGGTGCTTTTGAATATTCCACCCTATGTTGCAGTAGCACTCAGATGTCCCGCGGTGCTAGGCACTGTGCAAACACATGCAAAGACATGGTCTTTGTTGCGTATGGTTTATAATCCAGTTGCAGAGGTGTCCCTTTGCATGCTGGGGAGTTCAAGGAGTCATTCTGCCTCCTTCTGCTCCTGTGGCATTGCAGCTTTGCGCTGTTCTTTACTCCAGGCTGCGTTTAACCAACACAATCTAGCTAGCCAGTGATACTGGTCACATAAGTAAGGGCTTCAGGATTAGGCTCCCTATGTGGCCTTAATTTGTACCAAACATGTTTCTGAAACAAAGCAGCATTACTTACTGGTACTTATTAGTAGTGTGGTGCTCTGATTATTTTTAAGACTGTTGCTAATGAACCAGAAAATTCTTGTGTACACACAAGTTTTACCACTTTAACTCAAGTGGTATGAGCCCCTCTAGCTTGGACAGAGTTCTATCAGTATACAATTATTTATACCAGTAAAACTTATTCTTGTAAATAAGTCATTCTGGTGTAAGGCACCTTTATACCAGTATAACTGCACCCACACTAAGTTGTACTGGTTGTAACTAGATGGGTAAAAAAATCACACCACTAACTAACATAATTATTCTGGGGCAAAAGCTGTCTGTGGACCAGGCTTTACATATGGATCTGAATAAAATGAAGAAATTTCTCATAGTTTTGAAGTGAGAGGCTATTCTAATCAGATTTATTCTGCTTTTATTGTTAGAGCATCTTGATGCGAAAAGAGCTGGGGATCTTTCTACATTGTTCGATGTGGGTGGAATCTTTGGTAAGTTTAACACACTATTATTAATCAGACCTAGGTTAGGAAATCTGTAGTACACGTAGCTGTTCTGTTTTACTCTTTTACTAAGAAATTGGGGTTTGATCTTGCATCCACCAGAAAATGGCAAAATTGGCTCCCGTGGGAGCAGGATGGGGCCCTTACAGCCAAATCCTATGCCATGTGACCAGCCTTAGTAGCAGGTCTAGGGGAATAAATCCATAGCCCCTTATTTGATCCTGGTGCAAGAAAGATTGGAGGATCCTAGTGTCATAGAAACTTCTGTCTCTGTCCCTTTACCCCTCTCTTCCCCTCTGTCACCACATCCCTGACCCAAAAAGGTATCCTGTCCTCACCCTTGCATAGCAGCACTACACCAATTTTGCAGTTCCTCTGCCCAATGTGCCACAGAAGGGGTCTCCAGGGCAGTGATTGGGGTAAGCTGGAGGAGGTTTCACTGGATCCAGAGTTATGTAGATCTAATGGCCCCAGTACACTGAGTAAGTGACAGAAAGGGGTTGCAGCCACTGCTCCAGCTTGGCCCTGAATTTCACCTGCACTACTCCTCTCCACTCAGGCTCTGTGCAGGAGAAGTGAATTTCACACCATGCAATTTAAAGCAAGCATAGGTAGGTGTATCTCCGTGTTAGAGACTATACCAATGTGGCTGCATGGCTGTAGTTATGGTGGCATAACCGTATAGTGTAGAGGGACCCTATATTGACAGAAGGAGTTTTTCCATCACCTTAAGAACACCACCTCCCGGAACAACAGTAGCTATGATAATACCTAGTCCTGCCATGAGGGCAGGGGACTGGACTAGATGACCTCTCGATGTTCCTTCCAGTCCTAAGAGTCTATTATTCTATGTCAACTTCCATTGACATAACTGTGTCTACACTGGGGGTTATGTTGACATAGCTATGTCAATCGGATGTGGGCTTGCTCATACTCCTGACCAAAATAGCTATGTTGACTTCTTTTAAGTGTAGACCAAGCCTAGTTGGCACCCGGAAAATAGAGATTTTATTCAGCAGTCTAAACACAAATCTCGCTCCACTGCAAATCCAAGCCACCAACATAGCTACTTGCAGAGCTTGATGGGGACCCAGATGTGTCAGTGCGATATATATATAGCTGGGCATTTTGCTGTGAGGGTTACCCTTTGAAAAGAGGGAAGGGGGGCAGTAGAGTATGGAAGAGTTGGGAAAACAAAAGTGCACTTGAAAAATTATTGCAAAAGGGCTATAATAATTGGGTCAAATGGAATAGGAAAGAGCACTTCAAAAGTATTTATCTGTAATTTGGGGGTTAGTTCTCCTGCCATCCACATGCTTACCAGAATATTGATCCATGGGTCTTTTCTTTCCCTGATGCAGGCTCCTATTTTCTGGGTTTAACTCCTTGATGAGAAATGGATTTATTATTATTGTTTCATTTTGTATAGCAGTAGCACCCAGGAACCCGAGTCATGAATTTAGAGCCCCGTTGTGCAAGGCACTGGACAAACAAAGAACAAAAAGGAGGCCGCTTTCCTAGAGAGCTTACAATCTAGGTATAGGACAAGAGGCAACAGGAGGAGACAGGCAGACAGGGCAGCATGAGGAGACAAGATGGAATCCCTATTGCATCCTTGCCAGGGTAGTCAAAGGATGTATCCAGTATTAAACTGAAAGCAGACACAGGGTGGCTTCTGGTAACCCTACCAAGTGATTTGTGGCTCAGTAAATGTGGGTGGCATACCTCTGGATCTTACACTTGAATTCAGATGGGACACAGGGTTTATGATGATGGCTCTTTTGTCATGGTCAGACTATAACATCCTACATGTTGAGGCTAGGCTTATTCTTCCTCCAGAGGAGATGGAGGCCTTAATTCATTGGTTCAACCCCAGAAGCTGGTTTGACGCAGTTGGGTTCCAAAACACCAGGTGGAAAATACTGGCGAGCCACTCTACTAATGACACAGTGTAGCCATACCCTAGAGGTCCCCTCCAATTACATCATCCTGGGTGTACAGATGACCTGAGAAGGAGCCAATGAGGCAGACTACAGTGCCTGTCGCGGTTGTCCAGCTCAATCTAATCATTTGTGGCATAGATGATAATAATAAAGCTACTAACTCAAACTAGATTTTCAGTCCTATGTTCTGTGTGTGTGTGTTTATAATAGAAGTGTACCTTTACAACAATTACACTGGATTGCTGTAACTTTGGGGAAATATATGTCCAATTATAGTGCATAAAATGCTCATGAAATAACCTTTTTGTTCTTTAATGTGTCTCTTTTTCAGGTGGCATTTTGGCAGGCATGATATCAGATAGATTGGAAAAAAGGGCTTCAACCTGTGGAATGATGTTACTACTAGCAGCCCCTGCCGTAAGATCTATTCTCCTTATTTTAATTGTGCCCTTTTGTGGGACTGGGTGAGGTTCTGTGAGCATTTCCATTAGAGATTCCTGTTCTCAGCAGTCTCTGACCATTCACCCCAGGTTGAAAGTTGCTCTGAAAAGTCTCCGCACAAGAGCCAACACAGAGGTTTGGGCTGGTTTTAATAAATTAAATATGCCATTCTTTAGCACGTCATATGCTATAGGACTCTATGAAAAATTGTCACATTCAGCTGGCTTTGACAGCACTCACTAAAAATAATAATTTTCCCTCTGTTGACACTCACACCTTCTTGTCAACTGTTGGAAATGGGCCACATCCACCCTAACTGAATTGGCCTCGTTAGCACTGACCCCCTTGCCCCCACTTGGTAAGGCAATTCCCATCTTTTCCTGTGCTGTATATTTATACCTGCTTTTACTGTATTTTCCACTCCATGCATCTGATGAAGTGAGTTATATCCCACGAAAGCTTAGGCCCAAATAAATTTGTTAGTCTCTAAGGTGCCACAAGGACTCCTCGCTGTTTTTACTGATACAGACTAACACGGCCATCCCTCTGAATCCTTTTACTCAGTTATTCAATTCTGAATCAGAATTGGGCAAGTGATTTGTCTTTTTGATTTAAATAATCAAAATTGCTGAGCTGTTAATGTTAGGAATCTGGCTGCTACATATGTGCAGTGTGATTTTTATAGTATATGTCTACAATGCATACACTGATCTTGCCAGAATCAGCAGAACTCTGTGCTATGCTTTATTTGAAAGTGACAGGTTAAAAAATTATGGTCATATTAATTAGCTATCTCTATGAGACAGGCAGCCTCATGGGGAAATTGACGGTGATTTCCATGCCAGGGGACTCCAGCACCAAAAATAACAAACAACTTTTCATCACAAAGACAACTGTATTTTTCATGTTGTGACATTAAGGAGATTTTTTTGTGTATGTGAAAACCTACAATTCTGTGAAGAGAAGGGGCCTTAACTTCCTCTCATTCAACTTCAGTGGGAATTTATGCTGGTGAAAGCGTGAGATCAGAATCAAACCTTATTCTTCTGTTTTTACTACTTAAATGTTTACCCATTCATATCCATTACAGCTATACATGTTCTCTGCAATCAGTAAAATGGGCCTAGAAGCTACCATAGGTGAGAACTTAAATTACATTCTGCCTGCTTTTAACTGGACTTGATTTTCTTTTACTTTTGTTCCATTCACACTGATTTTTCTGGGGAAAAAGTCTAGAAACTAATTGTCTGCTTTTCAGAGGTGTTGAACACCTGCGGCTCCCATTGAAGTCAGTTGGATTTCTGCTTAGCCTCTTTAGAGGCCATGAACCACCCGTAGAAAAAGGGCAGAGGACCGCATTTTGGTAGCACAGTAATTTCATTTCAGGCCATAGGAAAAATGATTACATTAGAGCTGGTCGAAACATGGAAAACCTCTTCCACAAAAAAATTGGAAAATTCAAAGCCCTTTTTATTTCAGGGGTTTCAAAAAGAAATGATATTTTTCCTCTATTCAATGTGTTTCATAAAAAAAAATTGGAAAAACTTTTTGGTTTAAATGTTTTATTTTTGCTTTTTGAGTTTCTCTTCTCCTCTCATCCCATCCCCACTTTTATCCATTTCACTGCTGGTAAAGGGGAGGGAGGAAATCTGAGAGACAGACAGACGCACACACAAAACTAAGACATTTTCACCAAAAACATTCCAATTTTGAAAAAAAGGACACTTTTTTGAAGGGGAGACCCTTTGTTTGACCATTTTTGACCAGCTTTGAATTGCATCTAGCAGATTGTACCACAAGAGGGGCAGTCTGACAGAATAGGCTGAGGGGGAGGAGGTCTCTGTGTGACTCCCCTTGCAGAGTTTCTCCCCAGCCATTCTGTTGGAGGGGGATGTTCTCTAGGGCCTGCCCCCAAAGCTGGAGGAGCCTCACATGCATGTGCTGCGTGGAAGTCTGTATTTGCCCCCCAGAGCTCCCCATCAAATTCCCTGGCAGTGCAGCTGAACTGGAGTCACACTCCCAGGACCTTCCATTGCCTTGCTGCCCCTGTGATTCCCCCACCCCCTTAAATGAGGGTTCCCTTCCACTTAAGGACTTCTGCGAGCTAACACCTCCTCCAAGCTGTGTCACTACTTCCAGGGACACTCTGTGGGACTGGAAGGAGGAGGATGCCCTAGGAAGGGGAGGATGGTGTCCCTTCCACTCAGGAGGGTGAGAATCGTGCACAGAGTGGTTGGAAGTGTGATCTGGGCTATTGTTTGATTTACAGAAAGGCAGATTAAAAGTAGGAGTAGAGTTCATTCCTCTCAGCCTCAAACACTGATGAATCTTGAAAGCCTTTGTGGGGGGAGGGAGATAAGGAAATCCAAAGACAATAAAATACTCTTGAATTAATGGGAACAGTTTGATCTCCTTTTGAAAGCAGAAAGGAGCATAATTAACTTAAAAATCACACTTCTCTCTGCAAATGTTGTACCTATTATTGTTATAAGTAACCACTATAGCATCTTAGAAGAAAACCGTTTTTTAAAAAGTCTTGTGCAGTTTTAGCTTATACATTTGTATGTTGTACACCCACTTTCACCATTTTCCCTTTTTGCTCGAGTCTTTCAACAGGGGGAGAAAAACACTAGGGGAAAACAGGAAATGTATTTATAAAACCACAAAAATTATCCTGGGAACTCAGTAGCCAGGACTGTTCTGGAAACTATTTGCAATTCTATTTTAAATGAACAATATCTTTGTGAGTTTGCATTTTTAGGGGTCAGGAAAAATATTCCTCGAGTGGATTGGGGACTGAAGCATGCTGATAGTGTGTAGAGAATTATTAGGAATTAGGTGGTCAAATATTTCTGTAAGGAAGCTCAAATAGAGGCATGTAATTGTAAGGAGAATGCACCTCTGAGCTGACCCAGTGCCTCAAAATGTACACTGTCGGATAACTGTGTTTAAGGGTGTTGGGAGTCCTACTCTCTGGCTCATTGCAGACTAGAATCATTGTTACAAGGATACATCTCTGGGTGCCATAAGCATGACTGAGTTGAGATGGGACAGAGGGAATTTAATCAAGAAAAACTGACAGAACAGCATGCATCAACGAAAATGCTCTTGCCTCCCTGAGGCTGTGATAAGGGGCTTTTCTTTTTGCATGGTCAGGAAATGAGTGGGGGTGGGGAGTGAGAACCATGAATAACCAGTGAATAACACTGGTTTCTGTACCTGGAACTGAGAGTGCTCGATTCCCTCTTCCAAGTATCAGAGATGATTAAAGAGTCTCTTATAAACGTAAAGGGGTTCTGACCTTTTGTTGGGATAAACTCAGTTTATTTGTGGCCTCCTACCAAATACAAAAGGAGAGGACTTGAAATGTGAAGGCAGTGCTGGTGGTGAGGTTTTGTATGTATGGCACAAGCATCCAAAGGCCCCGTTGAGCTTTGGAGCCCCATTGTGGTAGGCCCTGTACAAACAGATAAAGGACTCTTCTCCGCCCAGAAGGGTTTACAGTCTAAAAGGCACAAGCAGCCGAAGAGCTGGGAGTGGACACATCATGTTCTCCACTGTGCTGGAAGCAAACGCCCCTTTGTGCTTAAATCTGTCCATTGCTACTGAGATGGCTTTTTACCCTTGTTTTCCTTGGTAGCCATTTTGAAGCAAAATTGTACTTCCCATGAATATACTCTTGTAGTTACATTGCATTTATTAAAGACATGTAGTATGTTAAATGATCAAGGTCTAGATCATCACGTGGGATTGTGATTATAAATAACATCAATTCTGGAAACTTCGTGTTTACTTTTCTTCATCGAACTTCCAACAGTTATGCTGCTTATCAGTGGAGCCCTGGTGAACGGTCCTTATGCACTGATCACAACTGCAGTCTCAGCCGACTTGGTGAGTTTGGCTCTTTTGTTTTACATTTAGCAGATAGACCCGCTCGTTTGCCCTCATTTGGGGGGGGAAGCCTGTGGGTTTCTGTGATGAGTAGTAAATGTGTGTAAAGCATTGAGGGCTCAATTCTCCGTAGTACAGATGTGGTGTGTGTGTGTGTGTGTGTGTTGCACTTCTGTGTACAAGGTAAAGAGTAATGAGCAGGATGGGGAGCATTAAAGAACTCAACCCTGCATTAATACTGATAATTACTCCTGCCTCCTAAGAAGAGAGATCAAAGAGGGGATCTCTTAGATAAACACTTCATGTGCGTGCTGAGGATCACACATAAGGCCACAGGAGACGTGCCATTTGCCACCCACATCCTGCACTTTTTTTACCCTGCACCTTTGAGAGTAAGGGACCAGGTGTGCAATGGGCTGGAGGCTTATCTCCATTAGGTGTGGAGAGCACTGCCTGGTGCTTGCCCTTCCTTGTGCTCATGTTAGCCTCTGCTCACCCATATACTGCACCCCAGTCAGCCTGTGCTCCCTGCCACCCTGCCACACCAGGCCCTGCAGGCTTGTGGTCTGACTGCAGCAGATGCTCCATGAAAACATTGCCCTGGGTACCTTTTCTTCAATTTTGCTTCTCAATGCTAGGTAAATGTATTGCTTTGAAAGGTGCTGGATGGTGGGAGCCCCACAGAGTGAGGTCATTCACCAGCAGAATAGGTAGAGGAAAGGCAGCGGAATTTAAATCCACACCCCATCCCAGCATTCCTCCTGAGCCTCCTTAGTGATCAAAAGGGAGCACCGGTAGGGTTGAGAGAATGCTCCCCCTTCAGGTCCATTCAATCAATAGCCTCATTGCTGTGACTGGCAGCTAGACTGTAGGATCTTGTTACATAGACACCTGCCCTCTGGGAGCTGGACAGAAACCGCCAACTGATTTTCTCATATGTCACTAAACAACCATCTGACACTAATGACTTTAGGCGACTGGTGACCTAGACTGAATTCTCCTCAGTGCCCTGAGTAAATGAAAGGCTCTGTCTTCTTAACAATCCTCTGAGCCATTCAGTCTCCTATATACCAAGTTATAAACTTGTTCCTATGATCATTCGTTTTGCTCTGCAGTCCTATTGAATAACTGGCCTAATGAAAATGGCCTTCACAACTACTTCCTTTTGGTGCCTTTTGACTCAATAACCTGCTGAGTGGCCCTTTTTATGGCTTTTATCATTGATACTCTAGCTTTGTTAGTATTCTTGTCCAACTAGTGATTCTCTTCTATTCTGCAGAGCTTTCTGATATCAACAATGGCTGTACTGACAGACCACTATGCAGTTTCAGAGAAAAATTGCAGGCTTCAAGCACAACCCATTCTGCCTGAACACCTTGCATGCACAATAGAAAGGGTTATTTATAAAGAACATCATTAAAATAGATTGGTCATGGGGGATTTTTTTTAAGCAATGATAAAAGGGTCTTGTCCATACCTATGGAATGCTACTTGGTAATGTTCATGCTAACATGTTCATACCTGACTAACCTAATTGCCTTCTATGATGAGATAACTGGCTCTGTGGATGAGGGGAAAGCAGTGGACATGTTATTCCTTGACTTTAGCAAAGCTTTTTGATATGGTCTCCCACAGTATTCTTGCCAGAAAGTTAAAGTAGTATGGGCTGGATGATAAGGTGGATAGAAAGCTGGCTAGATCGTCAGGCTCAATGGGTAGTGATCAATGGCTCCATGTCTAGTTGGCAGCCGATATCAAGCGGAGTGCCCCAAGGGTCCTGGGGCTGCTTTTGTTCAATATCTTCATTAATGATCTGGAGGATGGCGTGGATTGAGGTCCCTTCCAATCCTGATATTCTATGATTCTATGATTTTCTATGTATTTGTCCATTATTTCATGATATGTTTTTCTATGGAAAGGCCAGGAGTATGACGCAGATACATGGCCATTTCCTAGGCTCATCTGTAAATGGTTCTGAACTGAGTATTTGTCACTGTAGGGTACCCATAAAAGTCTGAAAGGAAATGCAAGAGCCCTGTCCACAGTTACGGCTATCATCGATGGAACAGGTTCTGTAGGTAAGCTATCGTTTGGAAGCTGCCTGCCTTATCTGCAGTAGGCTTTCTGTGGCTCTAGGTGCTAGAGAATTACAGTGTAGTTCTGCTCTGAAAGTGGACTAAAGCTGGCATCAAGGAGTTCCCTGTCTGTGTCTCAATGATTTGCACATCACGTGTGCGCAGTTTGCATATAAAAAGATGGCTCTCTCCCCCCCAACTGCCAGTGCTACAAAATCAACTCAGGCTCTTTATCAAGCTGGATTCTCTCCATGTCACACCTGGCCAGTACTAAGCATCACTTTGGGAGTGGGGAATGGGCAAAGACGGCTTTAGGCCTCCTTTGTACTTCCCCAGGCTTGGTGGTGGTGGGCTGGCCCCCAGCACAAATTAGAACAGTATACTGTTCTGGGTACCTGAGATCAAGGATGCCTTGGTTATGCCCTCTGCACCAGCAGTGGTGAGGGAGGCAGAGATCCACCATGATAGACCTACACAACCTGCAGACACCTCTAACCAAGGGGAATCATCCACTGGCCATCCAGCTACACCAGTGTTATGGCAGCTTTGCAGCCATATATACTGTCTATAAACCTTATGGATCCTCTTACAAATGTATGCCAAAATGGGTTTGCTTTTATGAAGGTTGAAACTGAGTAAAATATCCAAACACAGAATATCTTGTCATAGGAACTAGTAATGTTTCCATCTCAGAATTTGAACATGTTGTGTCACTATTGTATTTTAGGTGCTGCTCTAGGGCCTCTGTTAGCTGGTCTCATCTCTCCCTCTGGTTGGAACAATGTATTTTACATGCTAATGGTGGCAGATGCATGTGCCTTATTAGTAAGTCTAAATAAAACATTTAGTGCCATATTTCTTTCTTATAAAGCCCTTTGTGTTAAAATGGAAATTTCCTCCTTGTATTGTGATTTGTATATTCTATTATTGAGTGGGATGTTTCCATTCATATTGTAGAGTTCTTTTTGTTTTTTTTTTATTTAAAGAACTAAGATGAGCATTTTGAACTTTGAAGCTGGAGAGCAGATTAGCTTCAATGGGTGATATCTGTATGCAGTAGCTCACCAAAGGGATTGCCCCAAACATAGTTGGAAGCAAAAATTCACATCAGTTTTGGCCCACAGAAGAATTCTTCTGTTTTTTCTCTTAAAGGCAGCACCGAAGCAGCAACGTCAATTTACTGAAATAGTAACACATTTTGCTGCATTGCCACAGAATCAGTATCACCATGGTAATTCAACTGTTAAGAATGAATGCCTCACGTATTCCAATTGGGTGTCCATCACATCTTTCTCCTATTTGACAAAGTGTAATGGATGGGATGATCTGAAAAGAGGCTGTTTCTGACTTGCCCTATTTTATCTTATCTAGGCAGATTGTCTTCTGTGGTGTTTAAGGCACAAAATAAGGAGTCAGGAGATCTGTGGACTAATTACTTGCTGGTGTAACTATTAAAGTCAGTGGTGTTACAGCAGCAGAGAATATAGTCTGGAGGTTCTGTTTCTAATTTTGCCACAGACTTCCTGAATGCGCTTCGTCAAATCTCTTAACTTCTATGTGCCTCTTGTTTGCCCCTCTGCCAAGGGAGGATGACATTATTGACCCACCTCAGAGAGGGTTAGGGAAGGTTCATTTATTAATCCTTTGTAAAGTGCATTGGTATCACTTGCTGGAAGGTGGTGACAGAAGGGCTAAATTTTTGTTAGACACTTTAGAATCAGGCCCCTGTCTGATCTGCACAGACAGTCCCATATGCCATACAGTTCCATTGAATTCAGTCACGTACATGCAGGGAAGGTAGGGTGACCAGACGTCCCGATATTAGGGGCGTTGTCTTAGATAAGCAACTATTATCCCCCCCAAATCCTGTCCCGATTTTTCACATTTGCTATATGGCCACCCTAAGGGAAGCAGTCCCCCTGTGAGGGTCAGATTGCACATCTCTAACTCAAGAAAAAGGTTGGTTTGTTGCCAAGTTGTTCCACATTATAGAGTAAGATGTTTGGAAATTAATAAATAAAATGGACAAGTTAGTCAGATTTCAAGAGGCACTCCCACAAATATTCAGTAGTTTTTAGATTGTAGCTCTTTTAGTACACCAAGAGACTGCGTTCATGTTGCTATGGCCCGGTACAAGTTCCAATTCTTCTGAAGGAGCTGAATGTCACTTTCCATCATAGATGGAAACCTCTGCTTCCCACTTGCTGGGTCCTATCAAGTGAATGAATGTGTGTTTATACATGACTGCATAACTTCTTTACTCAGCCATTACTGGTGCTGCAAGGATTTATACTAGCCAGTGGGTAAATTCCTTGTCAGGGTGATAAATCCGGCTATTGGAACCTTTTTTCTTTTTTTGCCCCAATATAACAAATAGAGCTTTTAAGATCTATATTTTAAACTGATTTTTTTTTCATGAGGGAATTAGGCCTTTGAATTCAATTGAATTCCAATGGGAATTAAGTGTGCAAAGGGGGAGTAGGTGCCTTGAAAAATCACAGCCTTCATTTCTAAGAATAGTTGTAACTGGTTCACACTGATAATAGCCAGAAGACATAGAAGATTGAAATTTTCTTAGCATGGGTTTTTCATCAAACATCGTCTGTAAGATCACTCTTCTGTTTCCCGTTTGATGGAGGGCTGTATTAATTGGTATACCTATGACAATAAGTATAAAGGGCCTGATCCTGCAGTCAGTAATGGACCTGAGTAAGTTTAATTGCTTACAGGATTAGACCCAAATGTGTGTCTCAGAGCAATGGTGGTATAATAGATACCATTTTTCTTGCAGTCTTGGGCTCCCTCTGCTGGTCTCATCAGAGTCTTGCTGGTACAATAATAAAATAGTTATTGTTAGAACTGGTAAAAAAATGGTGAGGCAGGGAGGACAATCACCATGAATTTCACTCATTTTCATTCCACAGATTTAGAAGTGGGACAATTTTTTTGTTTGAAATAGTAATCCCAAATGTTTGGGAATTTGGGGCAGGGGTGTTGAGGTGGGATGGGGATTTTCTCCAGTTTTCCTTCCTCTTCCCCCCCCGCCCAACTTTGCCACTGAAAAGGTGGGCAGAAGGGGGGGAAAGGTATGTAGGGAGAGGAAGAGAAAAAATAATTTGAAAAAACAGCAGTTTTTGTTTTTTCAATTTTGTCACAATGCGGGGTGGGATTGCAAAAATGTTCTATTTTGAAAAATGTCCATCAGCTCCAGTTCTTGCATAACCTCTGGATCCTTGCTGATACAGAGAAAGACTTTGATTTAGCTCCTCTCACGTGAGTGGTACAAATTCATCTTCCAACCATTGACTGAACATGTGAGAATATAATGGGTTTCTATTCGGTCGAACCGGGATAACATTAAATGAAGTACTCAGAGTAGCAGTGTGCGTTTGACACTGAAAATTTATCTGAGTGGTTCACCTGTCTAGATGTTTAACCCAGATTTGTTTTTGTACAGTTCTTACTCCGTCTTATACGAAAAGAACTCCAGTGTAAGATGGACCAGACCTTGTAAGTCTGTTACTTGTGTTTTTCTATATGATGATTAAATGTTTTCATATGTCATTCTTGGCTTCTCCACCTTTGATGTGCTCCTTCTCCTTGCAGAAATCATGGATTCTTCCTTTATGTGCATGTACCTTAATCTGTGAGATTTTTCTGTTTTGTAAAGAGTAACCTCTTTTTCTTTAAATCATGAAAATCTTTCTTCAAAACTATTTTTTAAAACAGTAGAGAAAATTGAGTTCTCTGTCACATTCTCTGTACATTTTCTCCAAAAGTTGGGGCCCTCTTAATTTATCACCCTTGAGTGTGAAACTTGGCAATATGAGGTTTTTGGTTGGCTGGTGGTGGAATTATTTTAATAGCTCAATTTGTACTTTTTTTTCAGAAGTTGGCAGGAAGGAAAGGGTGGTTCAATAATGATCTGGAGGATGGCATGGATTGCACCCTCAGCAAGTTTGCAGATGACACTAAACTGGGAGGAGTGGTAGATACGCTGGAGGGTAGAGATAGGATACAGAGGGACCTAGACAAATTAGAGGATTGGGACAAAAGAAATCTGATGAGGTTCAACAAGGACAAGTGCAGAGTCCTGCACTTAGGATGGAAGAATCCGATGCACTGCTATAGACTAGGGACCGAGTGGCTAGGCAGCAGTTCTGCAGAAAAGGACCTCGGAGTTACAGTGGACGAGAAGCTGGATATGAGTCGACAGTGTGCCCTTGTTGCCAAGAAGGCTAACAGCATTTTGGGCTGTATAAATCAGAGCATTGCCAGCAGATCGAGGGATGTGATCATATCCCTTTATTCGGCATTGGTGAGGCCTCATCTGGAGTACTGTGTCCAGTTTTGGGCCCCACACTACAAGAAGGATATGGAAAAATTGGAAAGAGTCCAGCGGAGGGCAACAAAAATGATTAGTGGGCTGGAGCACATGACTTATGAGGAGAGGCTGAGGGAACTGGGATTATTTAGTCTGCAGAAGAGAAGAATGATGGGGGATTTGATAGCTGCTTTCAACTACCTGAAAGGGGGTTCCAAAGAGGATGGATCTAGACTGTTCTCAGTGGTAGCAGATAACAGAACAAGAAGTAATGGTCTCAAGTTGCATTGGGGGAGGTTTAGGTTGGATATTAGGAAAAACTTTTTCACTAGGAGGGTGGTGAAGCACTGGAATGGGTTACCTAGGGAGGTGGTGGAATCTCCTTCTTTAGAGGTTTTTAAGGTCAGACTTGACAAAGCCCTGGCTGGGATGATTTAGTTGGGGATTGGTCCTGCTTTGAGCAGGGGGTTGGACTAGATGACCTCCTGAGGTCCCTTCCAACCCTGATATTCTATGATTCTATGATTTCAAACCAGTGTAAACCCAGAGAAGTTCCACTAAATCAATGGAGTTATACAAAAGTAAAACGAGTGCAAGTGAAATCAAAATCAGGTCCCTCATCTGTAAATATAGCATAGAATAGGAAAGTGTATAACAAAGAATGTGGACAGCATTTTGAATTTATTGATATCTTATTATGCACTGCTTCCAAACTTCTCATATTAGCTATTTTTTCACAGGTTTAAAGAACACTGACTTATGATATCTCAGACATGGAATTAAGGTCTTCATGTGTGATCAAAACTACGCCCTCAAAAGACTGTGGAATAAATTATTCTGTATTTGTGATTTGTCTTGTGGAGCATTTTGCACATTTACCAGGAGAGAATTGAGAAATTCAGCTGGTGAATTCCTGGTGAAGTTTTTTTGTTTTTGTTTTGTTTCCTGTTTGCACATACATCAGTCTCTCAGGATGGTGACTGTTTATCACATGAAGAGACAGAAGCTTTGGGAAGCTGTATGCCTTAACTGAGCCAAAAAAGAAATACCAAGTGCCTTTTGATTCATGTTGATAGGATATTTTAAGTAAACCTTAAACTGCTTATTTTTAACAAACTGCAAGGAGATTTGAGAATAGAGCACAAAGAAGAAAATGAACTCTCTTCGGATGCTTCAGCAGTGGAATGTGCCAATGGTATTAGCAAAGTGTCCTTTAAGAACATAAGAATGGCCATACTGGGTCAGACCAAAGGTCCATCTAGCCCAGTATCCTGTCTTCCGACAGTGGCCAATGCCAGGGTCCCCAGAGAGAATGAATAAAACAGGTAATCATCAAATGATCCATGCCCTGTCACCCATTTATGCCACCTCTTAAAAGATAAGGTCATCACACTATGTGAAAGTACCAGCTGTCTCAGATTCACTGCTATTCAATATCCTGAAACAGTTTAAACAGTAAGAAAGTAGTCCGACCATATTATCAGACTTTAACTACAGCACTAACTTATCCTACACTGTAAAATCCCAAGGGCCGCATTCTGCTCTTTTATGTGTAATATATTGGAACTTGTACATAAGTAGTTACAATGTGCTGTAAAAAAGTAGCCTCCACTAGCCCCCTGGATGGGAAGTTTTGCTCATTTGGGGTTGTCAGAAAAGGAGACTCAAACAACAAAGAGGCTTATTATGATGGCGCATTTCCTGTAAGGAGTTCTAATGATTTGTAGGGCATTATACACTGGTTGTACAGACTTTATAGAATTGTTTTATTGTTAATTCTATAGGCTCCTTTGGAGTTGCAGGTTATTTTTAATTTGGAGGGCAAAGGCATTGTCTCACCTGTGACTGAAGCTTTAGCACTAGCTGCTTTTTTTTTTTTTAATGGGTGAACAAAAAATTGGCTGGTTTAAATCCTGATCCTGAAATGGTGTTGAGTTCAAGCACCCATTGACTTCAATGGGGCTGGATGCAGTGCAGGGAGTCTGTCCACTCAGAGCTCATTGCAGGATCCGGACCTTAATCATAGCACCAAAAATCTGTCAAAAGACTAATGTTGCAGTCCAAGTTTAGAGCCAAAGTATATAGTTTAAAAAAAAAAAAAACCTGACCCACATACTGGACATAAAGTTGAGAGAGGAAATTCAGAGGTTTATATTATCCTGTAAGTGCACGTGTTAGTGTTTTCATAATACACTGTTTCTTCTTGATCTGACAGTTTTTAATCTCCTTCCAATAGAAGACAAGCTTCTGGTGAATATTTGTAAGATGTACAATAATATTAAAGGGAATTTCTATAAAAGAGATGTTTATTATGTTGACTATAAAGGTTAAATAGACTTAAACTGTATATTGTTATAATGTGTATTTATTAAACCTCTGCATAACTGTTCTGAATTTTTTGCTTTTTTAACTTTTTTACAAAATACTGTGGTACTGTACATACCTCACTTGCTTAACAAAATAACCTTTTTTTAAAATAACCCTTCAGAACATACAAAAAAATTTCTTCTTTCTCATCAACTTCTTGTTTGCATTTTTGTTTCTGGCACAATGCTTAATCTTTTTGGGTTGTTTTGGGTGGTGGTGGTTTTGTTTTTGTTTTAAATCCTTTAACCTTTGAGCAGTTGTTCTTGAACTCACGCTTTTCTCATGTTTTTTTGCATTTTTGGCCCTGATTCAGCAAAGCGCTTAGGCACGTGCTTAAATGCCATTGACTTGAACAAGACTTCACAAATGCTTAAAGCTAAGCACTTGCCTATGCACTTTGTTGCAAATAAAGGTCCCTACTCAGCAAAGAATCGGCCTCAATCCAATAGATTTATGCATGTGCCAAAGTCCGTGTGTGATCCATGCCAGACAACGGTCTATGTTCTGCAAAGATTTACGTAAATGCTTAACTTCACACATTGCGAACAGATTCATTAAAATCAATGGGACCGCACACACTGCATAAAGATAAGCACATGCCTAAGTCTTTGCAGGATTCAGGCCATAGTTGTCAAAAAACTCCACCATTTGCAAGTAGTTGTTTTTAAAGCTTTGTCACTCCAGCTAAAGTCTTATGTTAAAGTGCTTCTAACTGTATTAGTTGATAACAGAATTATACTGTTAAGATGTTTAGTGTATTCCAATTTTAAGTGTTTCCTTCTTAGGAGCTGACATTATTCATTTCATTTTTTATTTTTTGGCAATATAAGAGCCCACATGTGAGGCAGTGAACGTGTCCCAGGCAGGACTAAGAGCCCTCCCTCCCACTGACTGCACTGGTGAATTAGAGCTCTCAGCTACTCACATTGTGTCCTTTATGGTTCGGAAGTTTAGATTCTTTTGAATTTACACAATCCTTGCAGTTCACTTAACTCATGTGGGATTTTCTTCAGTGTTGTGATATTCTCTTTACCACTTTATTTGGGGTTGAGTGGGAGAATCCACAACTGTAAATAAAAAAAAACCCACTAAAATGTTAGCCAGCAAATTAAATGTCAAGATATGTTGAGGAATAACAAACCTGGTGAAGCATTAATGATGTTTTCTAAGGTGTTAGGAAATTGATTAATTTCTGTGCCAGGAAAAAAATTTGTCATCATATGGAATTCCCTGGTCATTAAGGCCAAAGGGTTTTGTCTGTAACAGGAATTCTGCCTGACTAAGAACAGCAGGATCAGGCTTAAAATTTCCAAAGGGCCCTCAGCCTAACCTCTAAATGTGTTCACAGTTTGCATGTGTAATCATTTTCCGGTGCAGATAATTAAATTTGAAGGCCTAACTCCCATACCTAATTTGCCCATGGGGAAGGAATTTGGTCACTTCTCTTTTATAATCAGCCCTAAAATTCCTTGCATTCTGAGCAAACAGTGCATTTTGTTAGCTTCTGGTGTCAATACTCATTCACCTGGGGGTGAACAAATCTGGTGACAAATGTGTACAGGAATGTAGAAGTGTGGTAGTCAAAGTAGGCTTAATATCTGAATGTGAAGTGTTTCCATTTTAAATACTGATTATTTGCAGATTAAAATATTTTTTCATAGCATATATTGAATAAAGATGGATTCTGTATTTAAGTTTAAAATGTGGATCGCTTTTTGCCTCTTTTATATCTTAATAAGGAAATTGTCCATTTCCTGCCTGTGAGAGTAGCCCCTTTCTTGCGGGAGTAGTGGAGATAATTTATTAAGGAAAACAAACTAGAA